TCCTGATTATGTTTTGAGGTGTGTACATCAATGGACAACTTCATGGTTACCTGAGAATAGACAGTGCATCCAACCACACAACAAATACTTGCTAGAGAAACATTTTGAGTTTTTATATGTATTGTGGTTTTGATTTTGAGTCAAATCTCATAAACAAAATACTCAAGTTTCAAAAAAGTTCTATGCTCGAACTGAAAAGTTTTTGACCTTGAATATAATGAAGTACAACAACGTTGGCACTAGGGAATTTGACGTTCAACTTGGCAACAGGTTGTAATTGCGAGAAGAAATCTATGAAGAATTTCATGGATTCATTTGACATCAAAATGATGTTTTATACTTTTAAAATTTGGCATATCTTTGTCAATGTAAAACGGGTAATAAATGTTATTTGTAAGGCAATCACTTGATTTTCATGCCGAGGTTGCAGAAAGCAATACATTTAAGATTTAAACATTTACAATTTTGACATGGCCTTGATGATGATTGCCAAGGTTATGGCCAAAGTCAACTTTTGATGACCCACACAAAGCTCACAACTGTGCTGTCGAACATTTTTGTTACATAAAATTATTTTCAATGTGTTGATTTCACCTTGTAATCGCCTTGGAGGTCATGGCGAAAAATTTCCTACTCTTTCCAGTACCGATGTGAAAAAAGGGGAGTTCTATGTGAAAAGATTCGCTTGACCTCGACAGTCGCGGTCAAGGTCATCATGATTTTTTCCTCTACAACTTTTGTTAGAAACTTTTTCCAAGGATGCATTGTTGTCGAAATATTTAGGTGAGGCGATTAAAACGGAACATCCTGTATGCATAGTTGTAAGCATAACTAGTTTTCACGAAAAGCTACGTCCTGCTGATTTTCGCATAGGCGCTGCTTTTGATTGGATTGGGTTTCTTCTGGTTGAATACATTATCAATGGTATTAGGAAAAAATTACAATTCACATTGGTATATTTGTCATCAGTGAAGATATGTCATCACATATTGTGTGCCGAATTTCGAATCAAGCTCATATTTACAGCGCTGTAAAGAGGAAGAGAGCGATCTTACATTTACAAGGAACTAAAAACTTGTCACGAAAATTATTAAGTACGATGGTCCTGTACATACAACAGGAAACATATTTTTTATTGTATAAATTATTTTGTTCGATTGTCACAGTGGTAACGAAGAAAAATTTAAAAGAGGCATTTTCACATTTCATAATAAGAAATATTAGATATTAACATTTTAGTAGATTTCAATGCTCGTTTATTCTTTGCAAATGGTTAACATGCCAAAATCTTCATAGCTTGTCAGTGATGCATTTTAAATAAATAAAAAAACAGGCAGTGACAGTGTTGTCAGTAGTTGCAATCTAACCTAGTCTTATAGGTGTTTCAATTATAATAATTGTAGGAAATTTGAGAATGCCTCTTGAAGGAATGCTTTAAAATTATATCGAAAATGTTCATTTACAAATAAAACAATAAAAAGGATCAGTACATCTCTATCATAAACAATATCACAATTTTTGTAATTAAAAATCTTAGGTCTTAAGTTACTAAGTACTAGCAGATACAGTTTTACCAATCACATGTTAGAATTTGCATAGAAAACAGTACTCTTCGATCATTGCCTAAGATGAAGGATCAAGATCAGGTCTATACAAACGTTAAACAATGACTTAACTTTGACCTTGATCATCTCTAAGGATATTCAAGGTCCACTTTTGTTTTTTTAAATGGAAAGCTTCTTATTTGACGCAGCAATCGAGTAGTGTTTCAAATTAATTAGATCAAGGTCACCTTCACAAGTCAAATGTGAGAGAAAATTCCTAGATTTTTAACAGGAATATTGACGGAAAAAACCGTTTTTACAGACCTTTCACAAGGATTTCAACAGTGACCTTGAATTCAGCATTGAACCTCACCCTCAGTCATTTCAAGGTTCGTGTAACTGAAAACCTGCTGTTTGACAATGGCATTGGAAAATCTTATGTTCCAATGCGTTTTCATGTACCATTACGATACTGAAGGTGAGACTCAAGGTCAAATCAACCCAAACGTCAATGTTAAAAGTTACTAAAGGTAAGACACATATAACTTCTGTTGGACCTTCATATTTGACCTTGACCATCTTCAAGGTCATTTCAAGGTGAACTTTGGCTTTTTAAACGGAAAGATGCCTTTTTGACACCGGCAAATCGAAAGACGTATTAAAATCTGAGACCACGCAATGGAAAATTGTACGTTCCAATACATACTTATGTACTACTATAACCTTGAATTTGAGATTCAGGGTGCAATTCAAGATCTGATATATAAATCCTGGCTGAAAGTTACATAAGGCTTGACCATGATTTTTTCATCAATATTCCTGATTCACTGCTGCTGCAGTTTACTTCCAGGAATGTTTCATAGCCACTCACAATTTGACTTTCATTCCACCTTTGGATGTCACCTTTATCTTAGATTTTGTGACACAGTCTTTCGATTCTTTGGATTGCCGGTGACAAAAAGAGGCCTTTCCATTTAAAAAGCAATAGTTGACCTTGAAGGTGAGACCCAAGGTTCAATCCAAGCTCAGTATTGAAGCGCTTGTTAAAAGTTATAACAGATCTGACCTTGATTTTTTTATCAATAATCCTGGTGAGTTGCAGCTGCTGTTTACTTCTAGGAACTTTTTATAAGCACACAAATTTTACTTACATTTGACCTTAATCTTATGTTTTAATATGCACTCTTTCGATTTCCACTGCCAAGAAGAGGGTTTTACATAAAAAAATGAACTCAAGGTCAAATGTTACGTCGTCATCGAGCTCATTGTTTAATTTTAGTAAAGACCTGACCTTTTTTTTAGAAATCCTTACCTGGAAGGCGTTTTGTATAATATTAGATATGCTATGTATAAGACTAACAAAATTTTCTTTTGGAACTATCTAAAAAGAAGTCTTCCATTTTAGACAATGTTCACAATAAATACTTAGAACAATTCTTCAACCTATTCCACCTGTCACACTAAATTTTATTTAGTGGTTTCTTCTCTTAACTTTAACCTCAGGACTGTCTCAATTATGAGATGGTATTTCATATAAAAAATAGACATCGCGTTTTGTACCAGTAGGCTATCGCTGAGGCTAGAAATTTCAAATGTTTCAAGAAAATATATTTTACAAGTATGTACATTTTAAGCTGATTAGAAAGTATTGAATATATGCAATGTATGTGTTGCAATATAGCTTGAAAGATTGGTGAAAGAAGCATGGACAAGCTGTCACAATATTTCATGTTTTGATTTAGATTTTGTGATAATGATGAAAAACAAGGCGATGGAAAGTGTAGCAATTTCCGGAAATTGTTTTCTTGTTATGAAGCATTGTCAGATTATCCAATTGTTGCCTGATAATGCTTTTAGAATGATGGCGCAACACGTCAGGGGTCTGCACTTTTATTGTAAAGTTTCTGGATAAATGTGTCAAATTCATAATTTAGTGTAGTCATTCAAAATTATTTTCAAAGTGACTAGTTATAGATGAAGCCAACTACAAGCAGTCATGACATTATCTGTCTGGTATAGGTTTGATGTGAGTTTAATGCAAAAAAACAAAAACATAACCTAACAATATTGACACATTATCATTTTCGTTATCCTCACTATTTTGGAGCGTATAACACCGAATGAAAAGCCGGTGCATGAAGGAGCAAGGGATTTTAAAAATGAGTAGCTCAAGTGCATGACACTCTGGAGCACTGGAACGGTACTGACAGGCGGTGGGTAGCTCCGAGTTACTCCGAGTAACACAAATGAGGAGGAGTTTTGGTTACATCGCGTACTGCTATGGAATGTTAAATAACTAGTCAACATTTGCCACGCTGTTTTGCATCAAAATACGTAAGATGTGACTAGTTTTTATCGCATCAGTACGCGATGATATAAATTTACGATCGGCTTCCTTGCTATAATGCAGATGACTCCTAAGGTCAATTTGGCCGACCAGCGGACAATAAAGGCATTCCACGAAGTGCCTTCTCTTGATATAACTACTCTTTTGTATCGTGATACAGAAAAGAATTTAGATTATTAACTTTCCACCAACCTTCTGTCCAATAAGCGCCAAAACAAGTAAAGCAGAGTAGTGGCAATATAAACGTCAATCTATCACGTGAATCGCATTCCTGTAATGCGAATTATATGAACGGCACTGAGCGCGTTGTAAAGGCCGACATTCACAGTTAATGTACCAATCCACATTGCTCCAAACATCTCTCCAAACAATTCAAATCTCTCAATTCGTGAATAGTTTGTTGAGGTTGCGCCAAATGACCCCGGACAAAACATATGGAAAATGGGCCTCAATCGATTTGTATGACTATTTCCCTCGTCTTGATTTCTACGAATAACAAACGCGCAATTTTGAATTACAAATGCTTTCTAGATGGAAACATTGTATGGCAGCACCTGTCAGCAGTTTTATCGAGTTTACCCGTGGCAAAACTTGACAGTTGTTGTCACCAAAAATTACAATACCTTTGATAAGTAATTATGGTCTCCTAGGACACCAGAAAACGACGCTAAACTTTTTTCTGATTTTATTGTCAGTGAATTTTGTAATATTGTAAGCTATGTTTATGCAGAATAATCCGTTACTTATGAAATAGTCTTGTCCAATACCATTCTATAAAAAAAATCGAAAAAACATGCAAGTGCATTTTATAAAATATACAAAGCCAACTGCGGAGGACCCAGTTCTTCTGCTGTTAGATGGCCACTACTCTCACACCAGAAATATTCCGCTTATAGACTTGGACACATTGCACTCCTTTAAAAACATATTACGCACTGGAAACAGAAAACTGCCTCGGAGAGAATAAATTAAGTGTAGTTTCTCCTTCTATTTTTTGTAAAGCGTACAATAAGGCTGCAACAATGGAGGTTTTCACAAAAGGCTTTCGAAAAACAGGTTTGGTGCCTCTTAATCGTCAAGTTGTTCAAGATTATGAATTTGCTATTCAGGATAAAGAAAATATTGATAACAACGAGCAAAATCAGAATAAGGATGACCTACACGAAAATGACAGAGAGATTCAAGATTCAGAGCAGAAAGAAGCAGCCCAGGTAGTGCAAGAGGATTACAATGCCATAACAATTTTGAACGAAGACTTAAGGATAGAAAGAGAAAGAACACCAAGCTCAGTGATCTGTAATGAAAGAGCACCTACTCCAATGGTTATGGTACAAAGAGAAAATGAAAGAACGCCCAGCCCAACACCTACTTTACCAGACCCACTTATATCCCCTAAGGATATTTGTCCCCTTCCGATAATCAAAACTCAAAATACAAATCGTAAAAACAGTAGAGCTGGAAAAGCAGCAGTTATCATTTCAACACCATACAAAAAAGAGCTTGAAGAAAGTGTATTGAAAAAGCAATAAAAAGAAAAAACGGATACAAGCAAAAGAAAAAGATCACCAAATGAAAAAAAAGTTAACTCAAAAAAGAATAAACAAGCCCAACCCACCCAGCCTAAAAAAAAATAAAAATAATAGAAGTAAATCAGAATGGTCAAGCTCTTCAGAAAGTGAAGCTAGTGATATGGAGTTTGCTGATTCCTCATTAGACGAGAGGGGTGGTAGTGATGCCGAATGTCTATTTTGTATGGGCAAGTTTTCGGAGGATCAACAAGGCGAGAAGTGGTCCAAATGCGTAGATGGGCCCATGAAGATTATGGAGAACTGGCACGTTTTGTGTTCTTTGTGTGAAGGAAAGTGTTTTTTGAATAAATTCAAGTGCTGTGTCAAATTAGGATCCCATTGTGTCTCAAATAGGGACCCTTATTTTAAAGTGTCGAATTTGGCACTTTCGCAAAAATAATTTTTTGTCATTAGTTTTTAGATTTTTTGTTTCTTTTGACTGTATTGTCTTCTTGTAGCTAATATTCCTTAACCTTCAATAAAAACATATGTTTTTTTCTGGTTGGTTCCAAAAAAAGTGGCGACTCTCCTCTACTTATGAATATTCAGTACGATACATTTTTTGGCCTCCTGAACAAAACTTCGCATGGGACCAAAGCCATCCTATTATTTTATTAGGTAGATAGATTAGTTAGCAGAGAAATAGGAGGATGCAGTCTGTCGATTTACAAAAATGGTGAATGTGCACATAAAATCGATTTTTAAATTCCTGGAGAGAACCATTCAAATGCAGCATGCACCGGTTCTAGGAGACCTTCATAAAATAGCTGGTGCTGTTATTAATAGATACTACGTTCCTATTATTTATGGGAGGTGCTTCAGCTGGAATTTACTCTCGTTTTAGAAATCCAATAATGTATCGATTATGGATGTTTCATCGACAAGTTTATGAAAATAATGAGGATTTACCTGAACATTATGCATTAATTGATGGGCATTATTGCAGATATAAATCTGGCGTTCATACCCTATGCACACGTTTTTTTTTTACTTGCTCTCCACGAGATTGGAGCCCGTTATATTTCGAAAAAGTTGGCCTAAACCGTTCGATATGCCGGAAGCAGATCAAAACAAAGAAAAAACAAATTAATAGCCAATAAATTGCAATACTTAAATTTTATATGTTCACATTAGTGCGCATTTACTTTCTTTTTTGTCTTCAAAATCAGCAAGACCTTGAATTGAAGAAGTAAAGGCAACCAAACAACCACGACTTTTCCGTGCCCTTGTGAAGCGAGGTGTCCTCTAAAGAGGACAGACTCTAGTTAATTTTTTTTTCTCTCAATCAAGTCATGCCAGATTCATTTCAGTGATAAAGTATAAAAATAAGATTACCCTTAAATTGATCTTGTAAGGATCCTAGCCAAGATTAATGTGACACTTCCTAACACCCATTCCTAAAAGGTTTTTAGATGAAATAATTTTCTCAGTATAACAACTCTCCGAATATTAGGTCTGTGATCACAATCCGCACATTTACCATTTTTGCAAATGTGGGAAACTCTCCCTATTTCTCAGAACTATGATTAGTTTTGCTTTCGACCCACGAGAACTCTTGTTCAGGAAGGTGAAAAATACATCATTCCGACAAATCGATTTGGATTCATTTTCCATATGTGCAGGGTGCTTGGGCACGATAGAGAGATTGCTTAACCTGGCGACTTTCGTGTCGAGCCGCAGGGACACCGCATTCGTTATCCAAATGCCGTTGTAGTTCATTTTTGAAAACAAATTCAACTCGCGAAATATTGTAACACTTCTCCATGTTGCCTGGCGATGACAGATTACAGAGCTAGTAGCGACGCATTTTACACAGCCTGATTTCAGAAAGCAAATTTACGTGCCGTCAATTTGTAGCGACCATCATCAGGCATAGCTCTGACTGTGCTCTAAGCTGATCCCGGTGAGTTTGTTGCCTTGCTCCACCCAATTTTTCAATCTGCCTCGTAATTCTTCTAGACTTTTCGATTTCGCTTTGTTTATCCTCTTGTACTTTACGTCTTTGGGCTTCGTCACAGATCTGTGGTTGGACATGACTCGGTTGTAAGTTTTGACCTAAAAAAAAAAAAAAATGGTTGACTACAATTCCTACCAAGGGGTGCTTTTGCAAATCGTTTGGTAATGGAATACCGTACACAGTAATGAAATGTCTATTTTACTCTTTGTTTTTAGAACGCCTAAATTATTACAGACTCAAGTAATAACACTTGATGACAGCCGACTAATTTTTAACCAAGTTATCTGGACCCCTAGTAAGATGAGGTAGCCCATTCATCGTAAAAAATGTATATTCAGCCAAATTTGAGCACTTTTTGATAACCAAATAAAATAAAGAAACATTGAGCTGTTAGAATGACAAGTGACCACACTCTTATTCCTGAGGATCTGAGCACGGAAAGAAAGACACTCTTTCGAAGTTCCAGAAGGATTAGTTTGTTCTATTTCCGAATCCATGGAACAGGTACGTCAAACAATTTATTGCGAACGCTAAAATTGTTCAGAGTAGTAAAGATTACACTCGGTAATAATTTACAAACGCAGCCCAGTTCATAAAAAGTTGACTCGAAAAAACTACAATTATGTATATTAAAGAAATTGATTGGATCAAATCAGTCTCTGAAACCTTAAAAAAGGTGCTTGAGAGATTTTTTTGTTTTTCCTACAGCTCCGGCAGCGCTGGATCGGTTTTCAAAACCTACAAAGGTTTTGGTAACTGGCATAGTAGTAACTTTGTAGCAAAATTTCATCAAAATGGCATAGAAGTACCACGTATTTTTAGACTTAAAATGAGACGATTGGACATAATTTACGTCTATGCAAGTGCTTGGTTTGTCCGTTAGAGGGGGTGTTCAAGATTTCTTTTTAAGACCGATAGTCCGATATATATGAAATTTGAAACACTTGTGGTTTGCTAGACGTTCTAATATTTGACTTTTAAGAAAAACTCTAAAGGTTTTGAGAAGGGTGAGAACTACCCTCACTTCTACATAAACTATGGCAGAATTTTTTGGCCACTTTCCCGACGATTGATTTTTTTTTATGTAGCAGATCTTTTTGTTTGCTTTATTTTTTCTATGTTATAAAATCAGGCCATCTCGGATAGTTTTCGAGAAAAAAAAAATCGCATCAAGGGGTACCTAAGCTTTGTATTAATTCTTTAAGTGTAGTTAACGAAAGTAAACAAGTATGATATTACGATTTTATTTAATACAGGTAACAGTAAGGATGTTTCATTTATTTACACGATGTAATAAGAATAATTTTTTAGAGACTAGCTCCGAAAAACATATTTTTTTCTAGAAAACTACGGTTGAGATGGCATGAATTAGATAAAAAATAAAGTATATAATTGGATCTTTCAAATAAAAAAAAATCAGAGGAGATTTGCAAAAAAATCTTTAATTTATGCAAGGAAAGGGGTAGCTTTCACCCTTCTCGAACTCCATTGTTTTTGTTTGTAAAAGTCAAGTATTAATAAATCGGACTATCTGTTCCAAAAAAATCTGAAAAGATATGTAAAAAAACTTTGACACTCTTTAACGGACAAACGAAGCGTTTTTGCATACAGGTAAATTATGTCCAATCGATTTATTTCGAGTCTATAAATACGTGGCACTTCTTTGCCATTTCGATAAAATTTTGCTACAAAGTATGCCTGTTACCAAAACCTTTGTAGGTTTTGAAAATCGATACAGCGCTGCCGGAGCTATGGGAAAAACAAAAAAAAAAAGAAAATCTCGACGGCTCGACTCGTATTCACACATCATATTCTTCCCCGGACATTTACCCTGAAAATTTAGAATGATGGAGCAATATTTTCACTACACGCATCGTGCTTCGGTCACATCGCAACACATACTTACTTGTGACTACCGTGGCTGGCGGGTGACGAGGTTAGTCATAGCAACGTTGCCAGATGGCCGGTAATGTCGCTAAGGCAGGAAAGACATTTCTATTTCGCAAGGTTGTCAAATGGGCTCCGGACTGAGGACTAAGTTTATGGGCCTATTTGACTGATTTGATCCAATGAATTTCTTTAATATACATATTTGTACTTTTTTCGAGCCAACTTATGTCATACAATATTTTATGCACTGGGCTGCGTTTGTAAATTATTACAGAGTGTAATCTTTAATACTCTGAACAATTCACAAGATTTTGGGACACCCTGTATACAGCCCAATAATAGGGCAGACAGAAAGACCGACAGAAATGACACATTTTTAAATATTCGCGATTACAATAGTTCCTCGCTAAGTAGCATGGGAAATAAGAACCTTTGCTACTTTTCTAAAGTATCGAGAAGAATGCTATAGTTGTGTCGGGTAGCGGCAGTTGCTGGGAAAAAGCTAGGCTATTTGTTTAGGGCTAGGAAGTACTTTTCTCCACATGACGTCCCTACTGCGGCGGTCTCTGCCTGTGCGGCTGCACCTAGGGTTGGAAGAAAACATGTATTTTTTATTTTATACAAAACACATGCTTTTTGTTTTAAACGTTTTTTTTTTGTTTTTAAATTTTATATTTTAAACGAATAAAACTTTGAAAAAAACACTGTTTAAATCAAATTTTTTCATAATATTAATTGAAAATGTTAGACCTGTTATTCTACTAAATAATTGATACCTTATTTAAAGTCCTGTACTAAACTGTCGCGATCAGCTGTTACGAACTACGTCGCGCCACGCCGCCGTTAGGCTGTGCCGGTGAATCCCCGAAATAACCAAAACCAATTGCAATCAGGAACTATTATCCCGGGTGAACCATAGACTACTATTTATAAATTCGCCTTGCAAGTTGGCTATTGCAATAACGTCTACTGTAAGTTATTTTGTGGTGTTCTTTTTTTGAAAACTGTCGACTACAGGAAGGAAGAAAGATGCCATTTGGTCCAATTTTGATGTTGATAAGGATAATAACAAAAAATCAGTGACTGCTAAATATAAAAAATTTAAAGTAATTAT